CAGCATGGAGGTTTTTTCAGTTTTGTTTACCGCTGGCTCCCTACTCTGCCAGTGTGCACAGAGTAGGCACCCAGTGTGTGCTTAACGTGTGTGTGAATGACTGACTGACTGACTGTCTGGGAACGTGGCCAGCTCTTCCTGGAAGTGTCTGCATCTGGCCAGTGCTTCCCAGTGGGTTGAATGATACCCCAGGAGGAAGGAGTCCCCATTACTGCCTCCCTGCCCAAGATTCCCTTTGTACTCGTCTCCTGGGTGGCTACACCAAATGACCGCATACTGGGTGGCTTAAACAACGAGACTTACCTCTCACAACTCGGGCTAGAAGTCAAAAATCGAGGTGTCAGCAAGGCTGTTCCTTCTGGGCATCTGGGGGACAGTCTGTTTCAGGCCCCTTTCCCAGCTTCTGGTGGTGCCTGCAGTCCTTGGCGTCCCTTGGCTCCAATCCATGGCCTCTGTCCTCTGTGAGCTTCTCCGTGTGCCTGTGTCCACATTTCCCTCTTCTCATTGGGACACCAGTCACTGGATTTAGGGGCCACCCTACTCCAGTAAACCTCATCTTAACTGGATTATATTTCCAAATCCCCTGTTTTCACATAAGGTCACATTCACAGGTGTAGGGACTTGGGACTTGAACGTATCTCCAGGGCACAATTCAACCCATGATGTCCTGCTCGTCCACAGTTGTTAAATCGGATTCTGGGCCTGTTGAGATCTGGAGAGTCTAGTCTCGGGGAGTCTAGAACTCTGCACTTTGGATGCTGTTTTCACAAATTTACATTTTGATATAATTTCAAACTTACAGAAAATTTCAAGATACATACCAGAAACTCCTGTAGACTCGACCCAGATTCCCCAGTGGGCTGCACTTTGCCCCATTTGCTTTATGTTCTGCATCTACCTGTTACCTGTGTGCATGTACATATACTGATATGCATTTCCTGAACCACTTAAGGGGACATTGGAGGTGCGATGCCTCTTCACCCACAAACACATCACCATATATTTTCTAAAAAACAAATTTGCTTCTATAACTCAGTGCAGTTATCAAATTTGGGAAATTTCACATTGAAACCATACCCATATCTGACCCAATGATGTCCCACGAGGGGGGCCTTGGTACTGAGCAGGTTGCCATGACAACAGATGCTGGCAGCCAGGTTAGCAGGCAACAGCTCAGAGGAGCCAACCTGGAGGTGGGGGCTCCCACCAAGCTTGGGGATGCTCCGGGTTAATAGAGCCTTGGGGACCCAGGCTCCTGGTCCTCTTAGATCAATTGGGGTGTGGGGTCAAGACTTGAACGTGTCTTTTTGGGGAGACACAATTCAACCCAGTTCAAGTACAGTCTAAGTTCCTGGGGGCACAGGGTTTAGACATTAGCCAAGTCACTGGTGGGCAAGGCAGTGGCATCTGTTGGTGGACAACCAGTCCATGTTGGGCATCTCTAAGCTGCCCCTCATCCTGCAGGCCCTCCATGACTGCCCCAAGCACATGGTGACACCCCCCATTTGCTTCGTCCCTCATGCTCCTGGGGTTGTCGTCTGCCCACCAGCCTACTTCCTTGAGGACAGAAACTGGGGTCCAGTCCCCACCCTATATGACTCTGGGAAATCCATCCTACCTGAGTGCTGCTGAAAACCCTCACTGGTGTCCCACCCATTTGCTGGGGTAGATTTAAGTGTGGACATGTGACTCTCTTCTGGCCAATAAAATGTGCAGGAGGTGAGGTGGCTTCCAGAAGCCACTGCATTCCATTTCGTGGTTCATGATGTCTTCAACTTGTAGACTCACTTGTCACGCTGCCATCTCTGGTTCTCTCTGTTTTGCCTCCTATTTCCTCTTATAAGGGCCCTTGTGTCTGAGCCATCAAATAATCTCTCATGGTCAGCCAGTTAGCAACTTTTATTAATTCCACCTGGAACCTCGGTTCCCCCTTGACATGCAAAAGGACATATGCACAGGTTCTGGGGATCTGGGTGTGGACATCTTTGGGGGCTGTTATTTTGCTGATCACAGGTTTCCTTGCTCCTAAGAGAGAGGCCCAGGAAAATGGTCCCTTTGTGCCTGTGGCCATTGCAACTTCATGATGAGATGTCTGGAGCAGCTGCAGCCATTTTGGTGCCCATCTGAGGATGAATATCATATAAATGGAGGCATAGCCAAAAGAACCACAGAGCAGCACATTGGAGAGGAGCCCAGGAGCCTCTTTTTGAAGGAGATAACACATTGCCTCATTGCTTAATCCTATCTGAGGCAGGGTTTTTAGTTGCTTACTGCCAGAGGCATCTACAGAGAAGGCTTCTAGCTCCCCCTTACAGGCCTTGGAAATCTGGGCATGGGTCTCCCCAGCCTTCTTTGTGACCAAGCATGGCTCTGTGACCAAGTTTCAGTCAATCGGAAGCGAGCAAGAGTGGTTGCACCTTCAAAAGTAAGGAGTACTAAACCTGAAAACTACCCAAGTTCCTGTCAGCAGTGGAATGGACAGAAAAATTGTGGTGCATCCCCAGCCATGAGGAGGAACATGGATGAAACTCACATACACAGTTTTGAGCTTAAGAAGCCAGACATAAAATAACATAAGTACCAAAAAATTCTATTTTATAAAGTGAAAACCAGCCAAAACCTATCAATACTGTTAGAAGTCAGGATGGTGATTGTCCTGGGGGAGGGGAGATGGAGGTTGTCTGGGGGCTTTGGGGCTGTTGCATGGCTGTGGTCTGTTGTGGAAAGCCCTGTACTTAGGGTACATGGTATCTGACACCAAAAAGGAAAAAAAATGCCAAGAGGATGGGGCCTAGCCTGTCCTCCCCCTTCTGTGTGGCGTTGATCATGGGTTGCAGGTACTCAGACTTCTGAGAGAAAGAAAGGAGCTTCTGTTTTAAGAAGACCCCCTGGGTCTTTGCTGCTGCTGCGAAACCACTTGCCTCTGTGGAGAAAGATGGACTGTCCTCGTTGGGTCCAAGAAATCGATCCCAGCTCACGTATCCTCCGCGTTTTGGGAGAACTATTTAGTCTCAGGCCGAATGCGGGGCAGAGGAGCTTTGTGCTTCACTGTCTCCCGCCTTGTGTCTCCATGGGAACCGGACTGTGCTGGAAATGCAGCTGTGGAGGGTTTGGTACCCAGTCTTTTCTCCTGCCTTCGCTGGAGCACCCCTTCCCAGAGGCAGGAAGGGCACCCGATCACTCAGCTTTTGCCACTGAAAATGCCCTTTAGTCAAAAGCCTTTTCCATCAGTGCTGAATTTTGCAAATACTGAGATTCGCAAATGCTGGGCCCCCCAGAAGCAGCCTAACGCTGAATGCTGTGCAATCTTGGGCAATGTCTTGGCCTCTCTGTTTGAAAGGGAGGTGACAGTACTGAAGCCCATTTCGCAGGACGGACTGTGGGGAGGCTTCCAGGAGGCGGTGTCACGAAGCTGGTCGGAGGGACCCACATGTTCTTGAGAGGGGCTCCCTCTTGTGGCCGCGCTGCGGTACTGCTGCTCCTCCCTGGCGCCGTGGTTACTGAAACCCGCAGCAGGCCGGCCTGCTCTGGGTGCTGGGAGTCCTGGCAGGAGCAAGACCAGGACGGTCCCTGCGCCACGGAAGCCCGTATTCCAATGGGGCGAAAAATCAGTTACAAATGCAATGTGGAGTAAGTTCATGGTAAATGCTGTGGAACAACCACCTTAAAGTCCCACCGACTCAGGGAGGAAAACGGGAAAGCCCTGCTTTAGGTAGGGAAAGGTATTAGGAGGAGGTGACATTCAAGCTGCTGGAAAGACTCAGCAGCTTGAAAATCGAGGGGTATGCTCGCAGGGTGATGGCGGGGTGGGGTGGGGTAGGGGAATGGACACAAGGCTGATGGGAGTGTGAGACTTTAGCAAGCCAGCAGCAGATGGCAGGGGGTCTTTCTCCTGAGGCAGGAAACTGTCAGGGACCCCCCAGGGCTACTGGCTGCTTTGACACACTTGTGTAAGGCAGTATTGCTGCATAACAGACAGGCCCAAATTGGTGGCTTAAAATCATGACGGTGTGACTGCATCCTGGGCTAGGCTCAGCAGATCAACTCTTACTGCACATAGTGTCTGTTGGAGCTGGAACATAGAGGGTGTCCTGTTCCATCCTTGTCTAGGAAGTTTACACACAGAGAAGTCTCCAGGGCTGCCAAGTTCATAGGTTCAATGATGCCACCAAAGACCTGCCCTTCAGCTTACCGTCCTCAGACAAACAGGTCTCATGGTCACAGAATGGCTGCCTTAGCTCCAGACATCACAGACAGTCCCATAAATAACCAAAAAGAGGAGTTGGGTCTTTTCCTCATGTATCTTGTCAAGCCATTCCTAGGAGCCCCCTGCAAATGCTCCTCAGGTCTCATTCCCAGAGCTGTCCCTGGGAGGGGTGGGACCACTGGTGAGCTATGACTGCCAGCACTTCCTCTGATCTGAGACAAAGGAGTCTTTTACTAGGAAGACATGTGGAATGCAGTGGGGTCTGCTCCAGCGCAGAGCCTGACCCCAATCTAACCACTCACTCAACAGTTCTTCCCCAGAGTCTGCAGTGGGCTGGGCACCTTCCAGGCACCAAGACATGCAGAATGGGACACTCTCAGCCCCTGGTTGGGGAAGGTTACTTTCTATAAGGCCAAGAAGAAAACAAGTCAATGTTGTTGTAGATGATGCAAAATGACATGGAGAAATCAAACCAGATGCTGGGATGCAGACAGACCCGGGAATGGGACTGCCTTCCTGAGGACGGGACTGCTTGGGATGTGTGTGGGCAGAGGGACCAGCAAGTGCAAAGGCACTGAGCAGGGGACATGCCCGGCCTGTTTCTGGAGTAGGAAGGCATTGACAGGGGAGGGCGAGTGAGGGGCTGAGGCTGGAGGAGGGTGAACAGTGCCTGGCAATGGACACCTGCAGAGTGGAATGTGGACACCGAGAATGTAGGCAGGCCATTTTCCTGTTGCCCGGTGACACATTGGGTGTTTTGGGAGCAAGACTGCTGGGCTGGGAGGTCCCATCCATGGGGGACCACTGGCAGAGTTTGCCTCAAAACCGCTACACGGAGGCGGAGGGCAGGTTAGAAAGGGGGCAGGACGATGATGTCCTGGGCTTCCAGAGTGCTGTGTATGACAGCGCAGAGTCCAAGGACCCCAAATACCAGGACCTAAATGGGGAGCTGGGGTTCAAAGACCAAGAAGAGGAAATTCGCCCCAAAGAGTTGGCCGGGGAAGAATCCCTGGATGCCCGGGACCCAGGAGAGGCCATCCAGGAGTTGGAGAGGGTTCTGGACAAAGATGAGGAGGACACTGTGCCTGAGATGAGGTGGCATGGGGGTGGGGTTCGGGTGGGGGCTGGAGGGAGTAGCGTCCCCACACCTACCCCATGGTCCTGTGTCAGTGCCGCAGGCTGGGTTCCCGTGGGTCCGTGTGGTCATTCTAGTGTGGGCAGCACCCTCACAGGCCTCTGAGGCAAAGCTGGCAAACATAACCCCTGTCCAGGCAGCAGGTAGGTAACGGTGGAAAATCCTACAAAAGCGCCCATTTTGGAATCAGCTGCCAGAGCTGAGAGGTCAGGAGAGGTGGCCCTCAGTCCGACAGAGAGAAAAAGAAACAGTGAAATCCCCCAGCTCAGAAGCTGCCACCAGTCCAAGCCCCACACATTGCCACAGAGTGTTAGGAGGGTTAGGACGACTGGGGGACATGTACTGGGCAAGCTGAGGACTGGTGAATTGAGCATTTGTGAGGAGTGATTTTTGGCCAGGGGTGCTGTCCTGGAAAGAGCCAAGTGCCCTCTCAGCTGTGGACTTAGTGTGTGTGTCCCCCATCCTTCCACTGGGCCACGCTCTGGGCTCTTCTCAACTCTGGCCAGCCAGGCAGAAAGGAGCCCTGTGGGTCAGCCTGTGCTCTCTTTGGTGTCACCTCCCATACCGGAGACTGATGTCTGCTGAAATGACCTGTGATGTCAGGGATGCAGTGACAGGCACCCGGGGAGGACCCTCGAGCCCATCATCTAAGGGCTTCCTGGGAACTCTCTGTGGCCCTTGCCCCCTCTGGGTCTGGACACACACGAGCTGAGAAAAGGGCCATCCTGGGAGGTGCGGGCAAGTCTGTCTTTTAATGTGCAGTGGAGGGAATGAGCCGCCTGGGCAGGCAGGGTCACAAGTCTGGTGCCGCTGAGCTAGGGCTGCAGTCCATGGCTTCTGCCACCATAATCCTCCCCCCCTACCGTCACCCGCCAGAGGCCCCTTCAGAGGGCGAGGAGATTCGGGGGCTGGAAAGCTGGCAGCTCCAGCCTCACCATCCAACTCCCCACAGCCAGCTATCCATCACCCAGAGGTTCCCTGGCACCTCCACGGCCAGAAGGAAGTAGATGGGCAGGCGGCTCTTTGAACTGGCAAAACCCAAGATCATTTGGCACGTCTTGAAAGACAGGTGAGGTGGCGGGTGGGTGGCCTTGCTGGAGGCAGGGGTGGGGGTCCACGAGGCGGAGAGCAGCCCCTAGGGGTCCCATTTGTCATCCACACAATAAACTTGGGGCAAGAAGTCAGGGTGCCAATGGAGGGAACTTGGGGGGCACAGTGGTCCGTGGTGGCCTCTGGGTGCTGGCCATGGACAGCGAGGTACTTGAGCGAGTGGGAGCCACAGAGCAAGGTGGGGGCTGGGCCTATGTCCTCACAGGATGGGGTGCTGCTGTAAGGGCTATGCCTGGATCTCCCCATGCATGAGGACCTTGCAGTTCTGTGTCTACTGGTGAGTCCCAGGGGCATCTCCTCTCTCCATGTTCTGCCCAAGTTGGGGGAAACACCAGGCCAGCCCTTCTCTCTTGCGTTTAGCATCTCCCTGACAGCAGACACTAATCTGGAAACCCTAGGCCTGTACAAACTTCAGGCTCAGATCCACTTTCTCCACCAGTGGGTTGTTGGTGCCACAGGAGCCCCACGGAGGAACCCAGGGCCTGAGCTCCCATTCCAGCCCTGCCACCTCCATCCTGGGTGCTGCGAGTAAGGGACTTCAGGCCTATGACCTTATTGTCCCCAGAATGCTGACAGCAAAAGTGACCCCTCCACCAGCTGCCTGACACTGAGCTGTCTGGACCATGGTCTTGCTCTAGTCCATGGAAAGCTGCTTAGTGGGAGGGAAAGCCCTAGGGGCAGACAACTCTCAAGCTGGGGTTGTTTCCCATTTGTGCAGCATTGTCCCGCAGAGTGGAGGAACTGGCCCGGCCTAAAAGGTTCTACTCAGAGTTTTACAACAACAGTAGGTGAGGGAGGGGGCTGGGCGGGCTCTTGGAGGGCCGGGCAGAAAGCCTCTCCCCTCCCTTGACAGAGTGTAGATGAGGAGGGCTCAGGTGCCAAGACTCCATAACCCAAGACCCTTGGGACCTCAGCTGTCCACCTGCACAACAGGTGAAGTGGGGATTCCACACAAAAGGCACTTAGCATGGTGCCTGCCAGAGTGAGTGCTCCCTAATGTTACTTACTGCCATCACGTACAACTTATGACACAATTCCTTTTTATCATTTAAAGTTTCATGCTTGTCAAAAGTGATCTTTAGAGTTAATTTTGATTACCTATCCTAATGCATATTGCATATATGTAATAGAAAGGCAAATGTAACTGAAGCAAGTTAGTTGGAGCGTGTCTGAAGGTTTCAAGTCATTTTTTGACTCAAAGATGTTGACATGTTCCACACACTGTTTTTAAGGCTGTTTTTGTGAAAATAACTTTTCATTTTAAATCCAAATCACAGTGTAATCTGAAGATAATTTAAACTGCAATTAAATTTAACATCTGTAGAATGCACATAGCTTGACTGAGGTTATTTCAATGAGGTCCACACACAGGCGGGGATAACTGGGGAGTCCCTGATGTCTGGCTGGCGGCATTTATAAGCAGGTGTGAAAATAAGAAAAGTCTACCTTAGATCAACACAGCTTCATTTCTGGAGCCTAGGCACAGCTGAGGCCCTATCTCAGGAGGCTCAGTGAAAGTTCACTTTTCTAGCTTTCTGCAGATACACACTATTATCCCTTGCGTTCAAATCTGGACCCCAGCCCCAATGACCGGATGTGGGGATGGCTTCAGAACAGGGTAGCTCCCACTTTGAGAGCACTCAGGAGCTCCCACTAGGGTTTCTGTTACGAGTCCTATCTTGGAGGTGTTTTGCCCCCTCCACTTCCCCAGGTTCTCTTGTATCCCCAGCATCAGAGAGAAGCTGAGAAAGACACACACACACACACACACACACACACACACAATCACAGACACATCTTTCCCATGGCTAAGCTAGTGTCTCAAATGTGGCTGTCCCTTAGGACTACTCCCATCTGGCCCATCCCTCGGTCTACCTTGGAACATCAAACATCTAGTCACCTGAGGGAACTGGCCACACCGAAGGTCCAGAATAACATTTGGAGCATAAACATGTCTCAGGTAGGTGCCTCACTCTCCCCAGGACCTCCCTCAGCTGTCGGAGCTTTGCCCACCCTCAGTGGCCTGGGATCAGGGGCCTAGATGGACAAGTGGGAGCAGACTCCAGAGCAACAGACGTGCAACTCTGTCGAGTTCTGCCTTATTTCTATCATTTCATACTTTAGCACACACAGAGACCCATAAACCACAATCATTATGTTTTTAATATGCATTCACGGCATCTTATTTCTTGCTCACTCCCTCAATATTTCTAGAGCACTGCCTTCTGAGTTACATGGAAGCAACATTTTAACTGCTAGCTCACATTCTGCCCTTCGAACATGCCAGTCAGTTTACTAGGCCCCTGTTGATGGGTGATGAGGGTGTTTGCAGCCGCAGTGAGTAGCACTGCACTGTGCCCTGTGCCCCGCCTGGGCATCTACACGGCGATGCTTGCGTGAGCATGTATTCAGCTTCATCTGAGATGGGCGAAGCATGCTCCAAAGTACTAATTTCCCTGTCCCGCCAACGATGCATGAGGGCATGTCTGTTCCCACATTCTTGACAGGGCTCACCAGTGTCAAAACAAAAAACTTTTGTTTTTGCCACATCTGTCGGCGTGGACTGATATTTTGTTGTTCTAATTTACATTTCCCTGGTCAACAGAGAGGACATTGGATGATTTAGGTTTACTCTTCTAGAAGGGTAGTGTAGCCTCTTGTGGGTTCTTGGGGTTCTGGATTTAGAGTTCTTTACGTATGATAGCCACTGAGCCTTTGCTGAACACACTGCAAACCAGCTTCTTCCCAGTCAGTCTTTCGTCTTTTGGTGTTGCTTCTGGGGTTGTTTCGGTCCAGGGACCTGTGAGGAACCATTGACTATTTTACTCTTCCCCTCTCACTCTGTTTCCAGGTGTCCCAGGTGTCCAGGGCAGCACAGATGGCCATCCCCAGTGCAAGGACCCTCCAGCTGGCAAAACCCAGAACTCCAGCCACCCTGTTGGAAAAGTGGGACCCTGTGCTGAAACCCAAGCCACATGTGTCAGACTACAACAGGCTTGTTCACTTGGCCAGTAAGTATGTCCTTGTGTCCTTTCCCACTGGATAGGGCGGGGAATTGTCAGAAGACTTGGACATTAAGCCTGCTTCTGCCAGATTTGTGCTCGCCTCTCCCTTCTTCTTTCCCTTGGACTGCAGACCAGCTGTCAAACCCCCTGGATGAGTTGGACTGCACAGGCTCCTGGGGTCATGGTCCTGAGGCTAAGAGCTGTGTGAGTGGGTCTTCCAGCAGGACAAGTGGGTGCAGACGAGAAAGTCAGGGGGCATAGGGCCAGGGATGAGGGAGCCAAACAGAGGTGCAAGGGCAGCTTTGAAATGGTGGCCTGATTCTGCTCTGTCCTTTAAAACAAACAAAATACCCTGTCCTCCCGTGACAACAGTAATGTGTGCTAGTTGTAGAGAATTTGGAAAATGTAGAAGAGCTTAAAGAAGAAAGGAATCCCACCACCTAAAGATAATGCAGTTTGGTGTGTTGCCTTCTGGGTGTAACACAGTGTTACACACAGACCCACAAGCACACGCAGCCATGTGTGTGTGTCTGTGAGCGTACATCTTCCAGGTGCTCTCCCTGCCCGACCCCTCTGGTCACACCCCATGTCCAATGCACTGAGACCCCTGTGGGCTTGGCCTTCTGAGCATATCAGAACGCACCCACCGTTCCCCACCCCGTCCCCACCCTCACAACCCCCTTGTGTGACTTCTGCCCTGGTCCCCCGGGGCACCATCACCCATTTGCCCTGTGGAAGCCACAGGGATCTTGCTGAATTTAAGTTGGATTCTGCTCTTACCTGCTCACAAACCTCTCAGGGTTCCTGCCTCGCTCGGCATGCCAACAGGCCCTTGTGACCTGTCTCCTGGCACCCCCATTGGCTCCACTTTTACTGCCTGGAACACTGTCCCCAGACCCAGCATGGCTCACCCCTGTGCCTCCTGTGGGGCGAGGCTCCCATCTGCCCTCTGGGTGAGGCCTTTCTGAGCGCCCTGCACAACCCGAGCCTGTGCCCACCACTGGGCACCTGTGCACCCTCTGCACTATTCTTGCGTTTTCTGTGGCCCTTCTCGTGTTCTGACATACTTTACATTTATGCGTCTGTTTATCCTTCGTGGTCTGTTAAGTGCCAGGCCTGCCATGTCAGAAGCTTTGGAGAGACTGTGTGTCCCCTCCTCCTGGCACAGAATCACCAGAGCATGTGGTCGGCCATTTGGGTTCACTCTGCTCTCATTTCTCCAGGTTCCTGTTTCCTGTGCTTCTGGTTATTGATTGGGAGCAGCTCTTTATATCAGATGGTCACGAATCCTTTGTTGAGCATGTTACAAAATAACTTCTCCCCAGTCAGTCTCTGTTCTTTTAACTTTGCTTACAGGGTTTTTTATTTGTTTAATTCACTCATTTATCCACTCTTTTAGTATTTGTTAAATGATTAGTGAAACAAACAGGCACACACATGCACTGGTGCATTCAGACTATTCTGTTTCTCTCTCACATACACCTGGACTATAAATACATACACATTTGTACATATTCACTTGTGTACATACTCATCTATGTTTCAGATGGACCTATAAGTACACATTCATGTGCGAGTGTGTAAGAACAGTGCAAGGTTGTGCTTTTCAAACAGGAAACTTGCACGCACTAATGGGTATGATCAGCATTTTAAAACGTGAAATGACAAACGAATTGCATGAACTGTGTTCTGTGGCTATTTTATTTCTCTCTGTGTCCACATGTGTGCTGTGTGGCAGTGCACTCAGTCACTGCTGTTAAGTTGTGGTTAACAGAGTTTAGAAGTCCAGATCTCTCAATGGTGGAAGTGCTTCAGAATTCTCACAGAGGTGTTCAAAGAAGGCTAGATTCTGGGCATGGCCTTCTCAGCACCCCAAGGGGCTACCGAAGCCTGAATGTTTGGCCTTGGCCCCCTTCCCTTTGGAAGGGACGGTCATATGCCTGGCAAAGCTCTGGTCCAGCCTTGATGGCCTTGTGCAGCAGTGGGCCCTGTGTGGGCTTGTGCCTGTGGGGCGGAAGGAACCCCACATTCTTTTCAGCAATAGCCCCTCCACCAAGATGGCACCTGTCTTGCCATTTGCACAGGGGCTCTGAGCAAAGAGGGGTTTGAAATGGAGGCTGTAGCACCCCTCAAAGTCAAGGGTCCTGGAGACCTCAGATACTGAAGGCTAAGGCAGTGACACTGGTGACTACCTCTCTTCTAGTCCCCAAGCAGGACCGTAACGGAGGGGATGGCAGAGAAGGTGGTGAGGAGGGATCCTGGCTGAGGCACAGGGGTCTGCTCCTGAGAGCTCTGTCCGTGACAGCAGCCACTAGCCACGTGTGGCTATTTTAGTGATGTACAAATCAATCAATCAGTTGTTCTAAATAAATTAATTGATTTCGTTGAAATTAACTAGAATAGAACTCCAGCCCATATTAGGCGCCCCATAGTCACAGGTGGCTAGTGAGAGCCATGTCACCGGTACTCCCGAGGGCCTGGCTGAGGCTTGCAGGCAGCTGGGCAGTGATGGCAGAAGCCCAGGGGATTGAGGTGGGAGGCTGAGTCCTGGAAGGCCTTCGTGTCCAGAGAGCTGCCCCTTTGGTCCACCAGAGGGGCCTGCAGGACCAGCCAGTGGGCAGTGCCTCCTGCAGCCATTGCTCGCTGCTCCTCCCCACCATGACATCAGAGGGAGGAGAGGGTGTGAAAGGGCCCACAGAGCCCCCTCCTCACCTTGGCCACCAGAGCATTTTTGGCCAGTCCCTCTGAGTCCCCCAGACTGGGACCTGTGGCCATTTGAAATATTTGTTTCTTTACAAGTCACCCTTTTAAAGTGTACAATTCATTATACTTCCACAAAAAATAAAATGTACAACTCAATAGTTTTTTAGTACATTCAGAGTTGTGTGCCCATCACCACAATAAATTTTAGAACATTCTATCACCCCCAAGAGAAATCCCCTGACTATTAGTGATCACTCCCCAGCCCCCCACTAAACCCTCTCCTGTCTGTGGATGTGCCTGTTCTGGACGTTTCACATAAGTGAAATCACACACTGTGTGGCCTTGTGTGTCTGGCTTCTCTCACTGAGCACTGTGTTCAAGGTCCATCCACATTGTGGCGAGTGTCAGTGCCTCCCTCCTTTCACGTCTGAGTGACATTCCAGTCTGTGGATATACCACTTTATTTATCCATTCCTCTGTAGATGGGCCACCTGCGTTTGTCTGTTCCTCCATTGCTGGATAGGCCATTGATTGAACTTCAAAACGTTGACTGGGCAGGTTGAGCTCCTCAGAGGGAGTGGCTGCATATCCAGTCCCCAATGCCTCATGCTGCCCCTCTCTCCTGCCCCCTCAGTGCCAAAGGCCCAGTCAGAGAAGTGTGTTCCTGACCGAGATCCACGCTGGGAGGTGCTAGACATCACCAAGAAGGCAGTGGCCAGTCCATGGGTCATCTCCCTGGCCAAGCCCAGAGTTCGCAAGGATCTCAACGAAGGCTATGACCCCTACTACATCACCCCAGCCTCCTTGGTGGCTTGGGCGTCCCCTCGCCTGCATGAGCTCGCCACACCCAAGAGCATCACCAAAAAAGTATGAGTGACCCAACCTGGCCCCTGAGGCCCCATCCCAGTAAACACCCAAATGTACCCTCACCCTGCATGTGTGGCTGGCTCTGAGCGTTTTTGCCTGGAGGAGGGAGGGTGGGCTGGAAGGCCAAATGGATGGGTGGAGAGAAATAATACTACTTGTGTTTGCATCCACCCTGCGATTTGTGCCACCCTTTTATTTTCAAAGTCACTTTCACGTACTGTCTTGGGCTTCTGCAATGGCAGGCGTCAGCCTCCTCAACTTCAACATTTTCCCTTTGAATCTCTTATGTCCTATTAGCTTGTCCGACTGCGTCCCGGGTGTCCACAAGCACCTCAGACTTGGTGTGACCCCCACAATAAAACTGCTGTCCCCCCATGCCCTGCTGCTGCCTCGCTCTCCCATGGCTGGCCTAAGAAAAGTGCCTTGTAGCCATACTCCTGTCAGACCAAGCACCTTGACACTCAGCGTTCTGCTGGTGGATAGCTGGGAAGGGGATGGGGCTTCTGAGTCCCCCTGCCCATTCCATTCTTCCTGGTCTCATTAGGAACCACCATCCACTCATTTGTGCAAGTCAGGAATCTGGGAACAGACCTTCTCTCCATCTGCACGCTTTCAGAGTATCTTGTGGGGTGCACCTCCCCTCCT